TTTGAGGCACTCCTAAAAGCAGAAGGCCGGCCTGCCGCAAGGTGATCACCAGGCCTCCGGGGCCGGCTGTGAGGTAGTTGAGGGCCCGTGCGTTCTGGGTATGAACAGAGCAGATCACCATCAGATGTCCACACACTGTCACAAACACACACCACCAACAGTGTATGCAGCCAGAGCAAGAAGAAAATCATTTCAGGACACTGAAACCTCCAGTACCCTCTACTGAATGTGCTCATTCCAAAGGAGAAACGCCTAGAGCCCAGGCCATCATCCCAGAGCAGGAGGAATTTGGAGCTGGTAAGAGGCTCAATCGACTCCTTTGACTACTCATCTTCCACCTGCACCCTTCTACAAGGTTTGAATTCCTGTACAACAGCAAAGCAATTTACTGTATTTCAGCCTCGCAAGATGCAGCTATCCTTCTGACAGGTGAAGTTCTAGCCCTTCTCCCAAACGAGAAGACACAAGGCCCCAACAGTCATTAAATCCATTTTACCAGCTATGTTCATTACCACTCAAATTCAGTCATGGTCTCCGTGAAGATTCTGTTAACTAAACACTGTGGTACTTTGTAAAGTGGACGTTCACCCACTTTAACACATAAAATACAAATGGGAAGGAGGGGAAAGAAGAAAAGAGTTAGCATATATAAATAAACATGTCGTATAACGAGAAAATATGCAAAGCTTCCACAGGCCGGGTCTTTTTAATTGGCCACAAGGAAAGCTGATATCTATAACCTTCACCTTCAACTCCCCATCCCATATTTTCCTTACCCCAGAGCCAGAACTCACAGCTCTGGGTGCTTTACCTGGTGGAGTGATCCAAACCTTTCTTCTCCAGGGTTCTGAATCCTCAATCATCCTGCCTTTTTCAGGTTCCTGTAAAACCACTAACCTTTACTGTTGGCATGAAGTTTTAGGAAAAACCTTATAATAAATTTCCAGAATTTCGAACCATTTGCTGGTTGAGGCAAACCAGCAAACTCCACTGTCACCACTCAATGGCCCACACCTTTCCAAACAGCGTTTCCTAGCATGGTCCTCACTGCTTCCGCCATAGCAGCAACCAATTTCCCTTGGTGATTGGGATCAGTCATTCCAACCAATAGATTAACCTGTTTTTCACCTGTTGGTTCAGTGGTATAAGGAGTGCAAATGGCCAGGCGGCAGTCTGTGGTAGGCAGAATTCTAAGATGAACCCCACGATTCCTGCCCTCTGGTGTACACTCCCTGTATAATTTCTCCATGTGCACTGTTGGGGCCTGCAAATGTAATTGGATATCACCTCCATGATTGTGTTTTATGGCAAAAGGGATTTTGCAGGTGTCATTAAGGTCCCTAATCAGTTAAATAAAATCCACATGGAGGTTATCCTGGGTGAGTCTGACTTACCTAATCAGGCAAGTCTTTCACGAGTGCGTTCCCTTGCCAGTTTAGAAGAAACACAGCCCTGTTGTGAGAGGAGGGTCCACATGGCAAGTACCCGAGAGCAACCTCTAGGTCCAATGCCTCCTGCAGCTTTACCTACCGCTCCGCCCTCATTGTGCCTACCGAGGGCTCTCGAGGGCTCGCTCGCGCCTAATCAGTCCCAATCAGGAGAGGCTTGCTCTGTCACAGCAGCACTCGCCAGCCATGAGCCCAGCGTCTGGCGCCCTCCCAAGGGGAGTGGCCTGCAGGATCTGGCTGAAACTGGCTCTCCGACATTCCCCAAAGGGTCCCGGATTGCGATTGCGAGAGGGTGCAGGCCAAGCTGAGGGACCCCAGTGGTGCACGATTGAGCTGGGGTAGGGACCGTGGGAGGGCTCCAGGGAGTGTCTGGCCCATCTTGTTCAGTTCTGATCTGCCAGACCCCAGCAGCAAGCTAACCTACCAATCAGAGCATCTGCCCCCTGGTGATCAGTGAATGTCATAGCAGCTGTTGAGCAGTCTTAGCATATCATTAGCATATTACACTTTGATTGGTTGTTCTGCTGTTTGGTCTATTTGCATATTACCCTTTTATTATATAGGATGAACTCATGCATTTAAACATATTTGATGTGTTGTCAAACCATTGTTATTATCTTTATTAATGCTTAAATCATGCCATCTTTGCCAGTGGGAACCAATTCAAGTTGGCTCTTCGATCCTTGTGGATTGTCTTTCTTTTCCAGTACGCCAAGATGTTCCAGGCTCATATTGTACATTTCCTGCCCCAGAGCTGAAATCCCCCTAAAATTCATGGAGCCGTAGTTCCTTTTAGTAGGAAATGGTATGTAGAAATCACAATCTGGGCATTACTTAATTGGTCATTATTTCTAGGCTTTTTAGTAAACAAAGCTAGAGCTTGTTGTTATGTTTTATAACTTTATTAAGATGAAGTACTTTATGAACTCATATTGATACTTAGAACTCAAGCACAGGATTTACTTAACTTTATCATTCTTGTACCTGGGCTTCCTTCATCATAATTCTTTCTGAACACAACTGGAATTGGTAGATCTTCCTTTGAATTATACTGCCCCCTTCAACAACTTTTATGGCAATCAACATATCATCTTTCATTTATTGTTATTTTTTATATGTATCTTATCCTCCCTACCAAATGGTAAGCAATTTGAAGCCAGAAGACACGTCTTTTTACTTTGTTCAATAGGTAAAATTCCTAAAGTGCTAGTATATTTCCTGATACATAAATTCCTTTTTCTTTATATCTCTCAAAATATGACAGTACTATACATAACTTTGTTATGTTTTTCTGGTGTGTTCCATTTTATTTTTTATATACTTGTAAATAATAAATACTTGTTTATTTATTTTAATTTATACTTATTGTTGAAAATATTACAGATGTCTTCCATTGACCCCCTCCACCCCACTCTCACCCCCTTAAAATGAATAGATACAAAATTAGGTTTATACTCAACTTTTCAGATATAAAGTACTAGACACTCTAATTTTATTAGGAATTAGGATAAAGATATTAAAATTATTTGAAATAAGTTTTATTTCACAGATATAAAACAATTTTGAACATTTACAACTTGTACAAAGACTGGTAGCTTTTATATTTTAAAAAAGTGCTATACTAAGAGAATGGGAAAAATTAAAGACCACAATGACATTCTAAATTATAGGTTCCAGGAACGGGGGAATATGAAGAAAGTACACATTCTATTCAACTACAAAATCCTCAAACCATCTGAGTGAAGGAAAATGAATAATACTGGACTTGTGTGAAATCACACTTTGGTCTGTAAACACATTTATCTTTGTTTTTCATTCAGATGTCTACCTAAAAATTATATAAAATGTCACTAAAATTAGCCAGTCAAAGGTATACTAAAAAGAGGTAGGGAATGAAGATGAAAGAATTTATTTTGGTAGTTCTTCAATAATGATGCGAGACACTGAATTCCATCCAGTAGAGGCATCTCCTTTGGGGTAATCTGAACAAGTACCCACCCAGATGGCAACATCCACTAACCCGGCACCGATTCCTTCACAGAGTCCTTCCACTGCAAAACAGAGACGAGAAAAACATCTTGAGAGGACAAACACCTTTAGCTAGGTAATAAATCCATTTAATGTACAGAGAATTAAAATTCCTAATGCTTCATATGTGTTTTGTAAAAATAAATTTTGTTTTCCTTAGTACATAAATACTTTTAAAATACAAATATATACCCATTCTATGACATAAGCATAACAGGCATTTTTCTTACAGGTTTTAACCATAAAACCAGAATTTGTTTAGTTTAGTTACAGAGATGACTTAAAACAAAAAAGCAACTCATTTGATTAAACAAAGGAAGCCTTTACTTTTAAAAGTCAATACTTTGGTTTGATTTACAAGTACTCTTTATTTTAAAAAAATTTTTAATTAAATTTATTGTGGTGACATTGGTTAATAAAGTTATATAGGTTTCAACTGTACAAATCTATAATACATTGTATTATATATTGTATATATTCTATATATTGTACTGTGTGTTCACCATCCAAAGTCCAGTTTCTTTCCATCACCATTTATGCCCTTTTAGTCCTCTTCTACCTCCCC